AATTGAGGTTACTAGAGATTTTACTTTTCTATTTCTAGTTAATCTGGCCAAAAGTTTATCTATTTTATATATTTTTTTTAAAAAACCAACTCCTTATTTCATTAATTTTCTGAATGATTTTTTTTTTGTTTTCAATTTCATTGATCTCTGATTTAATTTTGGAAGCTTCTTTTCTTATGCTGGTTTAAGCTTAGATTATTCTTCTTTTTCCAATTCCATAAAGTGGCTTCTGAGTTTGTTGATGTGCTCTCTTTCTGGTTTTCAAATGTAGGCATTTAAAGCAATAAATTTTCCTCTCGGAACCGCTTTTGCAGCATTCCAGAGGTTTTGGTAGCTTATGTCTTCCTTATTGTTGTGCTCAAGGAAGTTAATGATTTCCTCTTTTATTTCTTCCTGCACCCAACTGTCATTCAACAGAAGGCTGTTTAATTTCCACGCCTTTGTTTGGGGTTCAATGTTTTTATTGGAGTTGAGTTCCACTTTAATGCCTTGTGTTCTGAGAAGATGCAAGGTAAAATTTCAGTCATTTTGATTCTGTTGTGGTTTGTTTTGTGTCCTAGGATATAATCAATTTTGGAGAATGTGCCATAGGCCAAGGAGAAGAATGTATATTCTTTATCTTTGGGATGGAGTGTTCTATATGTGTCTATCAAGCACAGTTGTTCTAGGGTCTCATTTAAGTCCCTTATATCTTTGTTTAATTTCTGTTTAGTGGATCTATCCAGCTCTGAGAGAGGGGTGTTAAAGTCCCCTGTTATTGTGGTGTTATAGGATATCATTTTGCTCAGAATGAGTAAGGTCTGTTTCAAGAATTTAGGAGCATTTAAATTGGGTGCATAAATATTTAGAATTAAAATGTCCTCTTGTTGTATTTTTCCCTTGACTAATATAAAGTGATCGTCTTTGTCCTTTTTGACTTTAGTTGCTTTAAATCCACATGTATCAGAAAATAAGATTGCAATCTCTCTTTTCTTCTGAATTCTGTTTGCCTAAAAAATTGTTTTCTAACCCTTAACTAGGAGTTTTAATGTCTTTTGAAGCTAGGTGTGTTTCCTGCAGACAGCAAATGGATGGCTTGTGTTTTTTAATCCCATCAACCAATTTATGCCTCTTCAGTGGGGATTCAAGCCATTAACATGAGATAATCAATAAGTGTGGTAATGTTCTATTCATTCTATCTTGTGGAAGTCCATTACTTAGTTTTATCTTTTGCATCATTGTGGAAGTTAGGTTCTGCCCTTTAATTTCTGACTGCCTTCTTGCTGGTGGTCCATTGTGATGTTCAGTGTGTAGAACAGGTTGAAGTATTTCCTGTAGAGCTGGTCTTGTTGTGACAAATTTTCTCAATGTTTACATATCAGTAAATGATTTGATTTTTTTTGTCTATTTTAAAAGTTAGCTTAACAGGATATAGAATTCTGGGCTGGAAACTGTTCTGTTTAAGTAGATAAAGGTAGATGACCAGTGTCTTCTTGCTTATAAAGTTTCATTAGAGAAGTCTGCAGTCACCCTGATGGATTTGACCCTGTAGGCCAACTGGTGCTTACTCCTCGCAGCTTAAAGAATCTTATCTTTTGTCTTGACTTTGGACAGGTTCATTACCATGTGTCTTGGAGAAGCTCTGTTAGAGTTGAGGTGACCTGGGGTCCGATATCCCTCTGAAAGGTATATGTCAGAATCTTTTATCACATTTGGGAAATTTTCATTTATAATATTCTCTAGTATGGCTTCCATTCCCCTGGGACATTCTTCTTCCCCTTCTGGGATACCTATAACTCATGTGTTTGAATGCTTCATAAAGTCACATAATTCTGTCAGTGAACATTCTGCTTTCTCTCTCTTCTTTTCTGCCTCTTCAACTATCTGAGTTATCTCAAGAGCTTTGTCTTCTACCTCTGAGATTATTTCTTCTGCATGGTCTTATCTGTTCTTGATACTTTCTATTGCATTTTTAAGTTCCCTAATTGACTGCTTCAGTTCCTTCAACTCTGCTCTATCCTTTCTATATTCTTCATATTGTTCATCTCTTATTTGATTCTGGGTTTGGATTTCCTTTTGGTTATTTTCCACTTTATCAGCAGTTTTCTTCATTGCTTCCATCATTTTCTTCATTGTCTTCATCATCTGTATTCTAAATTCTCTTTCTGTCCTTTCTAACATTTCTTTATAGGTGGAATCCTACAGTAGCTACCTCACAGTCCCTTGTGGGGGATGCTCTGGACTGTTTTTTCATGTTGCCAGGATTTTTCTGCTGATTCTTCCTTTGAGTGTTTTCTTTTATCTGTTTCATTGCCCTAGTTTTCCTTTCACTTCCTCTTGCTCGTTAAGTTACCATGCCTCTGGCCTAGGATTTCAATGAGTCCTTTTGGTACAGGACCAGAAGGATGAGAAGATTGAAGAGCAAGAAGGGGAAAAATATTTTAAAAAGAAAAGAAAAAAGAGAAAGGAGAGGGAGTGAGTAAAAGGGACTACTGACAAAAGAAGAGAGGCAAAGAAAGAGAGAGACAGGAGCAATATAGGTATACAGTAGTGTTCTTTGACCCAACCTTAAAAACCCTCAATCTCTCAGGGTGCCCGGTTGGGTGGTTCTCTTGAGGTCAGCAGCTCTTTGCCAGCCTGTTCAGACACAGTACTCCACTTCCACCAAGTGGAGAGGAAAGGCAAAAATGCTATAAATCAAACCAAAACAATCAAACAGAAAATTTTACAGTATAAAATTGGGGGGGGGGTTAAACCAAATAATAGGGGTACGAACACTAGCACAAATGAAGTCCTAACTGTTAAAGAAGGCAACAATGGAAAATTATATTTAAACTAGAAAAATTAAGAAAGAAAGCAAAGAAAGAAGATAGAAAATCCAGAGGAAAAATGTTGAAATTTAAAAAAAAAAGAAAAGAAAAGAAAAACAAAACCAAAAACAAAGCAGCATATATATATATATATATATATATATATCTTGCTGTAACAGATGATCTTCTGGGATATGAGATGTTATTCACAATGCTGATACAGCTATATGAGATGGAGTCTAGAAGCCTCTGCTGATTTCTCATACCCCACAGAGTGGAGAGCCTAAATCTCTCCTCAGCCCACTTAAAAGGCACTTGAAACTGTTAACCTTGGCTAAGCAGAAGGTTTCCCAGGAAAGCATTTGTCACTGGGATCACTCCTAAAGTGGCTGCCTGCTTACCCAGTGTGCCAAAACTGGTTTCACTTTATAGCCTCACCCCTGAGGGCCAAGGCTATAAGGCATCTCAGTCCCCACCTTTAGGCTGCTCAGTCACTATATTACTTGCCCACGGTCTCCCACCCAATCCTGCTCTGCAACCCTGAGGATGGAGCTTGCCAGGGCAGTTTTCCCACAATGGCACCCCATGACCCACAGTGGAACACTATTAGCTCCATCTGGCTCAGCGGTGCAGTCTGGGACCCTACACAATGCTTAAAGCCCTCCACACTCTCACCCAAGTTCTCCCAAGTTCAACTGAGTGCCAAGTCCAAGAAAAACAAAGCAGCTCACAGGTAAGGCCTTCTAGTTTGCAATCTCACTGCTCCCATACTTACAGCTGCCAGAGGGATTAGACCAAATACACACAACCACTTGCCAGTTCTCCACTGCTTTTGTCCTCCTCATGGGGTCCAGAAGTCTCTCACTGACTCCCTGTGTCCCCAAAGGGATGTTTCTGGGAAGATCCCACCAGCCAGAGATGCCTGAAGTCTTCCCTCCCCAGTCTCATCATATCCAGTTGTAAGGAAGCTGTTACTCAGTCACCATCTTCTTCCTCCCCCCTCAATAACAAATTTGTAAAAGAGAGAATATTGAGCATCTTCAAGTGCTGATAAAATGGATGCAGGAGGAAGAGGGAGATGAAAATTGGAAAGAAAAATGACTTTTACAGGAATATCCTATAAAAAGTGAGAGAGAGCACAATATTAATATGAAACAAGTAAATGAACAACTACCCTTCCACATGACAGAAAAACACAACTACATCCAAATGGGGAGGAGGGTAAAGTAGTGATGGAGGAGAGGTGAAGAGAAGGGAGGTTTTCTGTGCTGCCACCTAATGGGCATAATGTAAGGGTGTATGGCACACCTCCTGGGTGAAGGGCTGAACTATAACTTGGACTGTATGTAACAAATGTAAAGAGTGTAAACTAACTGTTTGTACTCTTATATCAATCTTTTTAAAAAGTGAGAGAGAGAGAGGATTTATGTGACAAATAGAAAGACTTCCATCAAATAAAAAGAACAACAGATATCAGAGCAAATTCAAAGACTGTAGATATAGCTAAGTGTGTAAATCTAACAAGGGTGTTTCATTCTAATGGCTCTAATTTTTCTCTGTCAGGCAGAAGGGCAGGTCACCTCAGAAAAAGAAGGTAATGGCAAGTTGAAAGTTTGAGGGGAGTTCAAGGTTCAAAGAGTCATTGTGGAGCATGGAAAGGCAAGTTGAGTTGGTTATAAAACAAGATTGTTGGTTACAATTGAAAGTACCTTTGACATTGGTGAAAATTATACCAACACACCTGGGGTTGATGAACCTAACATCAACCTGCTGGACTGCAAGTTCTTTTCCATCAGGGATCAGTAGTCCAAAGTCAGACAGGGAGGAAGGCGACTTTTGTACTGAACTTTTTACAAAGAGATGAAATAGTATGGAAAGAGGTAGAGGTATTGGTAAGGATATTGGTTAATCGGTAAGAGTAATGAAACTTAGACTATAAAGCAGGAAAGTGGACAGCAGATTGTGCTGATGGAGAGATGGAATATGTACCTGTCAGTGGACTAAAAATCCTGTGAAATTCTAAACCTAATTTTCTAATTATATTTAGAAAATTGTAACAACAAACTAGAAGGAAAGAGGCACACAGCTAGAGGGCGAGGTGCCCAAGTTATAATTGTGCCACACCAAAGAAGGCTAGGCAAACTAAAGTTCTAATGCTATAATAATTGATGGCCTGAGAGTCCAAAGGCGGAGCATAGAAAACATTCTCACCTTTGGAATTAAGAACTCTCTAAACTGCATGTCCTGGGTCACCGCATGTGGCAAGATGGTGGGGATAAGGTCAATGTATCTCTGGATCTCATGCACCACGGCATCCGTGTAGGGCATGCAGCTCCTGTCCTGCATGCAAGGGCTCCGATGTCTGCCAATCACATGGTGAATCTCTTTCTGGACTTTAGCTGGCAAGTCAGGAATCAGAAATTATGTTAAATGGAAAAGACTTGAAGTACTTTTTGTGTAACACCTTAGTCATTGTCACATTATGGTTATAAATGGGGAGATGGGGAAATTTTATGTCACTAACTCCATAATGGAAAAAAAGAAACAGAGTTTCACTTCCCTGGGCAAACTGAAACTTCATTCCAGACTTAAATGTATGCATATAAAAGTCACAATTGAGCCATGAGATTCATTTCTATGCTCTGATTTTCTATCCTGTGTACTTTTGCCTGACAACTTCAGGGATCTGGGATCTTGAAGATTTGCTAAAGACCAGGTAATTTAACCGGTCTATGTATGACAATTTTTATTTCTAATGTTTAAGTTTCAAGAGTGTGAGAATTCTTAGTGCAGTAAATGTTTAATAAATAGAACACTTAGATGAGCCATCACAGAGAAGTTGATGTTTATCTAGAATGTAATACATGACAGACATGCTGCAGTGCTCATATTACTTTATAATTCCTCACAATAGTTCTATTTGTTAGGGATTATTTTTTGTATTTTACAAAGAAACAAGTCCAGAGAAGTAAATGTGTTTCTTAAAGATACCAAGGGTGATATAGTCTATCTCATATTAAAATAGATAAGAAACAAGTCTATCTGTTTCTAGTCTATGTGTTTCTTAAAGATATCAAGGGTAATATAGTCTATCCCCACTAAAATACATAAAGAAACAAGGATATGGCAAGGTGACCCTGAGTCTGAGATCACACAGCTACTTACTTAGAAACAGTGTCAGAATTCAAAGCCACTGCTATTAGAGTGTATAACCCAGTTTTCAAGGTAGTAATGCCATGCTGGTAATTTGGTCAAATGACATTTGTCTATTTACCTAAAGAAAGTGTCTTTGGGGGCCAGGTACAGTGGCTCATGCCTGTAATACTAGCATTCTGGGAGGCTGAGGTTGGTGGATCGCTTGAGCTCAGAAATTCAGGACCAGCCTCAGCAAGAGAAAGAACCTATCTTTACTAAAAAAAGAAAAAAAAAACCTAGAAAAACTGGCTGGCATCCTTGGGAATGCCTGTAGTCCCAGCTATTCAGAAGGCTGAGGTAGAAGGATCTTTTGAATCCAGGAGTTTGAGGAGCTACGACACCAGGACACTCTATCCAGGGCAACAAAATGAGGAAAGATGAAAGAATGAAAGAAGGAAGGGAAGGCAGAGAAGGAATGGAAGGAAGGGAAGGAAGGGAAGGAAGGAAGGAAGGAGAGAGAAAGCAAGAAAAGAAAAGAAAGAAAGAGGGAGAGAGGGAAGGGAAGGGAGTGTCTTTGTAATGAAGCAGGTGACAAATCTGTGGTTTGATAGCTATAAGGAAGACAAAGGTAAGAATTTCACAAACTCTCAAGTAAGAGTTTGGTGTGTTATCTAGAGGAAAGTGGTGGGGAAAAAGGAATAAGGAACGGCTAATACAATTTGAATGCTTGGTAAAAGGGTACAGTAAAGAATGAAAATGCTAAGGAAAAAAGGAAATGGACATGTCTTAAGAAAAAATCCAAATGGAAATGACAGGGAAATACAGCACAAAAGAATCTGCTATATGCACAAGATTTAAAAGTTTGGAGAAAAAAAATGCCATATACTACTTCTAGTCATAATCAACATAAGTCCTGTAAGACTTAGAGAAGTTACTTGGCTGAGAGAGTCTGTGTCACATGAAAGAAACACAGAAGCAGCCTCTCTCACAACTTGTACTTGAAAAGGAATTTTTAAACTATGGCTCTAAATTGAGCCTCTCAGAAATCATCTCTTATTTATAATGGGAAAATGTTATGCTAATGTCATGGAGATAATGAGGTTAAATCAAGTTTCATAATATAAAATGCACCAAATCATAAAACATGAAATAGTAGTGAAGGAAACGCCCTTTTAGATGAGGATTCAATTAAAAAGACATAGAAAAAAATGGAAAAGTTCCATTTGAAATATAATGTATGTTTGTGAGGAAAAGTTACTTATGGAAAAGGGCATATTAAAAAAGAATTTTTTATGGATATAACTCTTTTACTGAAAGGTGAGTCTTTTTTGATAGAGAAAGATTGTAACTTCATTGAGTGAATCCCCATGCTGGAAATGTGTTGGGTAGAAGTAACTTTTAGCCAAAATACACTTATCTGGACCAGGAAGACATCTGAAGTAGTATCTTTGCAGAAAATGAGAAAGGCTAGTTCTTCCCCCAATCAAAATCAAGGGTATTGCAATTGAGCAGAGAGATAGTGACCTCCACCCTTAAAATCACTGTTGTTTAACCATTTCATTCTTTTTTTGTACTATGACCTAATTTGGACTGAATCTATCTAATGATTAGAAAATTTACTAATGGTGAGAAATTTTCCTGTAATTATCTAGGCAAGTAAAGGGTGGGAAGGCTATCAGTGCTGACTGCCAGCATCTACCTGGACTTCACCCTGCTCATCTTCTATGATCATACCTGCGATCTCAGGGTGCTTAAGCAGGAGCAAGAGGCCGTATCTCATTGTGGTGCTCATTGTGTCTGTTCCTGCACCAAACAGATCCAATATCGTAATGACCAAGTTCTCCATGGTAAATTCAGACTCTTTATTATGCTTTTCCTGGCAATGATATGTTACAATAACTTGATAAATAAAAATATTTTCAGGTAACAGAAAATTATGCCTTATAACATCAGTATCAGACAAATTAGCCAGACATTAGAGCATGAAGGTGAAGTTAATGACAAACTGCCTCTCTGTTCCCAACCCCATCAGTCATTACAACAATAAGATAACTTCTTTGAAAACTCTAAACACTTGATTACTATACTTCTCATTCCCTGGATTTATTTTGTTTTCCCCATTAATCTAAGACAGAGAGTCCTCAAAACCTACCTCATTTAGATTTTTCTAAAGATAAAACTTTCTGAATTCTTATCATTGCCTGTATTCCTTCATTTGATACATGTCCTCATGGAACTTATTTTATGTACCATGGCTATCATCAATATCAAATGTATATGTATGTATGTGTAGGTGTGTGTGTGGGTATGTGTTGATCTGTCCCAAAACAAAGAACCAGCTTTCACATGGCAAATAAAAAAGGATCTAAACCCTTTTTTCAGTGAGAATTTAGAAATATCATAAATATGGTATGCACAAGCCATAGGTTGTACAAGCAATGGAAAATCCATAGGAAAGAGAATTTCCTAGTGAAATATCCCAGTTTCACAAGGAAAAACAAAGCAAATTTATGAATCACATCACCTGCAAAGATGAAAGAACAAATTAGGGGCACATTATACCTTCTCCATTTTAATCAGGAAGTAATCAATAAAGTCCCGGGGGTTATTAATGTCCAGAGTTTCTTGATGCTCTTTTATTTTCCCCAAAATAAACTCTTTCTGGTGAGCAAAGTTTTTAAAGAAATCTTTATGACATCCTGGGAGATAATGTAATAGAGGGAAAGCATTGTATAGCTGAAAGAAGAAAGAATCCTTCATTAATTCACTTAGCAAACATGTGCAGGCTCTTATGTGTTAGACACGTTGCTCTATACTGAGTAGGAAAAGAGGAAAGAGACATGCTCCCTGCACTAGCACATACTTGCAATTTGAAGAGAACTGAGAAAGTAGCCAGAGTTATAGGAAGCACAGGTGACAAAGCAACTTCAAAGCCATTTGCATTCATTTCCTAACCACAACTCTCTGAAGAAAGTCAGGAGCTGAACTACTGTTATTATCTCTCTCCACATGAGAACATATGAGAACATCTGGAGGTTCAGAAAGACTAGTTATTCAACAGTTCTAAGACACCAAACTAGTGATATCAGAACTGGAACCCAATATTACTAGCCTACACATATTTCTCAAGGGAATCATCTAGAAACTTATAAAGGCTCATACTCTTCGGTTGTAATAAAGCAGCACATCAGAAAGATTAAGCACCTGCCAAAATCTCTTAACATTTTTTTATAATTTATGCATGTTCCACTTCAGAAATGTGCATGCTTGCCTGACTCATCTGGCCTTTGCTGGTCCTAGAGCCCCCTTACTCAGCTTTGGACAGTGACTTAATGACTTAATACCCTTGATAGGCACCAAAGCAATGTATTCAGACTAGTAGCTTGCATCAAACTAGTTACAGGATCAGAACTTCTAGATTCCAGACCTTGTTCATCCATTGTGTTGGCTAAGCTACTTTGGAAAATATGATTAATAGATCTGGGTCACAGTTTTCTTTTCCAGAAAATGAGAGCTTGGACTTTTTGCTCTCTAAGGTCCTCAGGTGGGGCACACCATGACTTTATGATCCATACAGAATTTCAGTTGTTAATGATTGTACAACCTAGATTGCTAACATTTTCAGACAGTGAAGTCAGAGGCACATTCATAGTACTGACCTTGGTACCTATAGATATCAAAATCAGAAAAAAGTTTTCTCCAAATAATACATGACTATAAATGAAATGCTCTCAGTTATATTTTTCTTTCAATGTTATTTCACATTTAAATTTCATTTCAACACATTATATTGATTTGGTAACTCACTAATGGGTTATAAGTGATAGTTTGATAAATACTACTTTGGCCACATTTAAAGAGGGCAGAGGAAGAAGACAGGCATGAGCAATAGACTAGCTAGACAAGCATTACCCATTTAAACAGAACTTTGACCTTACCTGTATCCAAGGGGTGCTTAGAATTTCACAGTTTTCATGAAAATATTTAATAAAGTTTTGAAATTTCTGATCACTATGGTCAAAACGAGTCTGGAAAATGACAAAGCAGATCACATTGCAGGGAACACAGGACAGAATGGAAGTGGGATCACAGGGAGATGCTAAAAACAATACAAGGGAGAAGTTAGTGCACAGTTTTATAGAAATCTTAAATTGACAATTTAAAATAATTGGAATTAGTTGGCTTCTAAGATTTGCTTAAGAAAATAATTATCTGGACATGTCATTAAAATAAACTTTATCATGCCTAAAATAAAATAGATTGTATTTAACAAACAAAACTGCCTAATCCAGTCCCGTTTCTTAACTTTCCTCCAAGTAGTCTATTTGCATCAGTTTCTGAATATTTTTCAATATGCCAGAAGTAATGCAATTTAAAAAGTTTATTTACAAATATCTCTGGTGCCTGGTATGGTGATGAGCACATGTAGTCCTAGTTACCCAGGATGCTAAGATGAGATGGTCCCATAAGTCCAGAAGTTGGAGACTAGTTTGGAAAGCATAGTGAGACCTTGTCTCTAAAAATAAATAAATGGATATGTGTGTGTGTGTACCATTGAATGTGTGGAATTCAGCTCTTAGTGTGGATACTTCCTCTTCCTCATCATGCCCACAGGAAATAAGCAACCCAATAAGAAAATCAAGGGACTTAGAAAACTTGAAATTGTAGTTTATAAACACAGCTGATAAAAATGAGTGTGCTTATATAGAAGAGAAGAATGAAGGGACACATTAGAGTTATATTCATCTGATTAATAAATATAATTTTAGATATAAGCTTCCTGTATCTAAAGAAGAGTATGGCTACTTTTTGATGTCTGACTGCTATTAAGTGTTGAATCCTCACCCTACCTCTTCCTGCATAAGCAGGAAGTCTGAGCCACACAAACCCTGGTCTGCACGCGGGAATCCTCAGCCAGCCCCTTCCCTGACCAGCACAGAAACCTTATGCCAGGGCCCATTCCCTGCTGTCTCAGGCCCTTGTTGGATGTGCTTGGGAGTTACTCTGCTCTCCACAGAAAACAGCATTATGTAAGTCATAAAACTACCAAATCTCTTGGAGTGCATGTGTGTGGCATCATTAAACTCAACACCCAAACCAGATTTGGGAAAGAACGATCACTCTAAGTTTCTATCTGGTGACAACCACAGCCCTGTAACTCCAGAAGGAAAAGGCCAGCTGGGACCAAAAAGGAGAAGGTACCAAAAAACTCTTTCTGTTCAACCTGTGGGAAAAACTCCACAGTGATGTAATGGGCTTTCCCAAGAATATGAGGTGCCCATGACTAGGTGGAATCAAGCAGAGTCCAGGCGCAGGGCAGCAAGCTGGGATCAACTATGGGAAACAGTGAGCCAATAAATTCTGCTTGAAATATAAACTAAGTGCACAAAATGAGTTCCAAGGTAATACATATTAAAACCCATTCATTGATTCACTAACTCTGTTTCCTAAATTCTATGAAAGTAGTCAGAGATTTTTAAAAATTGATATGGATTGTGCTTTTTTATGTTAATAGCAACAAAACTAGAAAAAAATCTATCTGGCTGAAATAGGGGATTAGTTAAATACACTACAGTATGCCCAAAATAATGGACTACTTCTGTGCTATTCCGTTAATAACATTCTTGAAAACCATTTAAAAGTTAAACACATGAAAATACTCTTTCAATACATTATACTTAAAAATAAGTTTACAGAAAAATATACACAGCATATCATATGCCTCATGTTCTTACCCATTTAATATCAGATCTCTCTTCCCTCATTCCTGGGAATTATGTATCAAAAGCCCAAATAATGTTCACTAACACTATAACTCCAGTTCCAGAAATTTATTCTAAAGAACAAAACCAGATCATGCAAATATTTGCAATTATTCTATTTTTATAGAAATAGCAGCAAAAATTAAAAAAGGAAACAGCCTATCTAGACAATACTATAACATTGGTTTAAAAATACACTATCAATTCAGCATAGAGAATATAGTGTAAGATAATAAGTTCTCTAAGAGCCTTTAAATATAGAGGTTGTAAAGACACATACATCTTATGATCCTAATGTTACCACCTCCCTGCTTGGTCTCCGCCGGTCTCCCCATCCCTTCTCCCTGTCCTGCCTGTGCACTCACATGTCTCTGAATGGCACAGATCAGAGCTGCCCTAGCGCCTTCACATGCACATTCCTCCACGGGAGCCAAATTCCAGCCCTCCTCCACTGGAAGAATTTGGCAGCCCCTGCATTGTTTCTCAAGTAGTTACTAGAAAAAGTAACTTTATTTTTCAAGTTACTGAGGCCATGGCTGCCTACCTGAACCCATGTTCTCCACATCTTCCTGTTTACAGAGGGAACCACATTTTCCACCTCCTTTTGCCATAGGTTGTGACCCTGTACTAAGTCACAGCTCATGGCATACAAGGGAAGTTGTATGTGCCACCTCTTATCCTAACCTGAACACTATTTGTCCTTTTCCTTGTTCCTTTCCTCCTCCAACTACCACACAAAGAGATGAACCCAGAGTGACAGTGAAAGCCAGATACTGAAGATATCAAAGCTGCTGTTAACCCAGGGTCTGAAAAGGCAGTTATGCCAACCACCTCTCTTATTACTGCCATGTGAGCAAACAGTAAAATCCTGTTGTACCTGAGTTGTCATATCATTTTTTAGTCTATTTGTAGTAGCATTTATTTTACTCAAACTATTACTGTTAATAATACAAAGAAATACACACCATTGGTTTTTCTTAACAGTTCCACCAGATACAAGGCTTCCTCTTGAATTCGGTCTTCAATAGTTTTCTTCCCCATCCCCATATTCCGCAAAACCATGAGGGAGAAACACCGGGTGTGCTTCCACTTTTTTCCATTGCTGAAAACAATGCCTATCCAGGACAAAAAATAGATGATGATGATGATGAGATAGAGAGACAGCAATGATTGATAGATAGATAGATAGATAGATAGATAGATAGATAGATAGATAGCGTGAGATACACTGTCCTTCATTGTCTTAATTCTACCTGAGATTACTTATCTCCAGAAATGATACTGACCCTTTAGCAGGGAGACAAACATGGTGGTGTCAACTTCAGGAATTTCCATGGAGCCCTCTCCTTACTTGCTTCCTCCCTTAACCCAACCTAGAATTTTACTGTCAGGTTGCTTTTTGTTTTGTTTTGTTTTGTTTTTGCAGTTTTTGGCCAGGGCTGGGTTTGAACCTGCCACCTCTGGTATATGCGGCCAGCGCCCTACTCTTTTGAGCCACAGGCACTGCCCTACTGTGAGGGTTTTTGACTTTATGCATCACTAAACTCTTCTTCACCCAACAAATGCTTAAATCCCAGAATAACTCTGTAGACTGTTTTGTCTCCATTTTACTGACAAGGCTGTGGAAAATCCTGCAGGCAAAATGCTGGCACTATGGTCACACAGCAGTGAATCATGGTGAGCTCAACTCATACATTAAATTTTCACAGCTGGCTTTTCTGAATGAGAATGAATTTTTGGAGAAACAACAAGAAGAGTCAATTCTCAAGAGAAGGTGAGAGTAATTCTGCTTTGCAAGGAATAGGGTAACAACCTGTTTCTCAGACCAGGGATACACTCATTGGCTGATAACTCTTCTCATTTTAACATCCCTCCCTATTTGTTAAACTACCCACAACATAGTTTTAGCACCAAGGAACCACAACAATAGACTTTCAGAGTCAAGAACAGACCAGGAGAAAAGTGAGTTCATAGGAACCTTGCCCAGAAAGTCTCTTAGAGAACAATACAGAAATGACTCCATTCATGTTTTCTTTCTCTCTGTCATAAAGTTATCTGCCAGAGTTCTAGACAATTTAAGGCCAGCTCCAAAAACAAGTGAAAAATAGTTCAAGTATTAATAAAAAATGCTTTTTCTTATTTCAAATGCAATCCATGCTCATTATGTGTTTCTCCATGATCATCTTTTCAGGGCATACTTTGCTTTGTGCTTTGTATCCTTTTGGGTTCCAGCATTTTCTATGCTTTTTCAGAATACAAATTTGAAGGTGAGGCTGGACATATTTCAAACTTATGTTAGTTCCATGCATACTTCCTAAAATACTGTCTGGGGAATCCATGACTCAGTCCAGGAAGTAACGTGTTTGGTGAATAGGATAATTTAGTCATTTCTCTCTTCTCTCTTTGCTCATTGTCTCTTTCTAACCATTTTACCTGGGAAGAATTTAAAACAAAGGTGTCTTAGTGGTTAGATGGTTTGCTTTTACTAAAGTTAATGTTGCATGGGGATATTATATCACTGGCATATATAATGATACATATGACATATATGTGATATATATGACACATATATATGTTTTTGTTTTGGCCTGGGGCTGGATTTGAACCCATCACCTTAGGCATATGGGGTCAGCACCCTACCCTTTTGAGCCACAGGCACCGCCCCAAACTGTCATATATGTTAAGAATGGATTAATGATCCTTTATAGTAAAGAGATTCACAGTCTTATATTGGAATAATGAAAAGTGTATCCTGTAAAGGTCTCTAAGTGTTTATGATATCTGAATTTCCTGGACTATTTGGAGTCTTTGCAACTTACAAACCCACACACATTCTCCAAAGACAAGCATACCTAATCCTTGGGTAATTTTTTCTAACACTGGAAAACTTCCTCTGTCAGAAAATTCTTCTCCCCGATCAATCAGGGCTTCCTTCACAGCTTTGTATCCATACAAAACCACGGTGGGCTTCATCCCAAAATACACAGTGAACACAGGGCCATAATCTTTTCCTAGCTGAAAAAGGAACAGAAGGTGGAAGAAAAGTGAGAATTTCCTAATAGAAATGTAGATAAATGAGAGAAATTTTTTTATCTCACAGAAGAGACATTTTAATATTTATCCATGTATTATCAAAGATCCCAACCTTTAGAACCAGTTACATAATAAGAAATTACATGATGTAAATGTTAATTGTCATCACATCATTAGTAATATTGCTATTATTATTATCATCATCATCAATAGTCATTCTTTATTCAGTTTGTATTGTGTGACAGGAACTGTATTATGTTCCTATTATTTTGTTGCCTTTATTATATTAATGTTTTCTGCCAAACCAACAACTACATCAAATTTCTCTTTCCTTTCTATAGTTACAATAAATGGTGTATTTCTCCTCCTGTTTAAGGAAAGCTCCTACAGCTTACCCCACATGTAGACTAAAAATTGTCCCTCATTATCCATTTTCCATATTTTGTTTTTAGAACCAGGCATCTCTACTTTTTAATACCTGAGAACCTAGCAGCCTGATCATATGCATTTCTCAGATTCACTTGAAGCTAGATGTGGCAATGCTGATGTTAGCAGATGTGTGCAAATTATACACTATTGCATAAAAGAGAATTCCTTGCCCCTCATTTCTTCCCCTACCTATGGGCTGAAATAATAGCATGGAGATGGCCCCACTGTAACCATGCAAATGAGAACAATAGCCTAGAGTCACAAAGCAGTAGAACTGCAAGACTGAGAAAAAAATATTTCTCTGAGTTGTCTCATACAGGAGAGTCTTGCCATTAGCCCCCATCTCTAAATCATTACTCAAGATAGGAATAAACTACCTTCTTTTAGACTTTGTGAGACACTATAGGGACAGGAATTGGTCCTCACTTCTAACCCAGGGAGGGAACATGGGGTATTATGACCCAGCCTAATTAACTGTAGAAGAAAAAAACAAATGCCTTCCTGGCTGGAATGCAGGCCACATTCATACAAGGAAGGGGAATAAGCTATGGTGCTGACATAATCTTGGAATCTAGTGTGAAAGCCAGGATGAAGGCACACTGTAGGGCAGTGCCCTAGTAACTATTTAGCTGTCTCAGGGAAAATTTAATTTATCACATTAAATACCCACACCCAAAACACAGAAATAGCACACATCTACAACTAATGAATTACCTCAAGGAACTAGAAAAATAAGAGTAATCCAATTCCAAACCCAGCAGAAGAAAAGAAATAACCAAAATTAGATCAGAATTAAATATAATTGAGAACAAAAGAACCATTCAGGAGATTAATGAAACAAAAAAAATGGATCTTTGAAAGAATAAATAAAATTGATAAGTTCTTGTGCAGGCTAACTAGAAACAGACAAGTAAGATCTTTAACAACCTCATTTAGAATCAAAAATGGGAAATAACAAAAAATAACTTTGAGAAACAAAGGATCATATCTAATTACTACAAAAGTTCTATAGCCGTAAGTGTGGAAAAAATGCAGAAAATGGATACCTAGAATCTCACTACCTTCAACCAGGAAGAAATGGAACTCTTGAAAAAAATAGTATCAATATCAAGGACCAAAATTTCAACAATAAAAAACTTGCAACAGAATAATAGTTCTCAACCAGAGGGTTTTACTGAAAAATTCTATCAAACATTCTAAGAAAAGCCAGTATCTATATTGCAGAACCAATTCCAAAACACAAAGAAGGAAAGAACCATCCCCAACTCTTTCTACACAGCAAATATCATCCTGTTACCAAAAGCAGAAAAGGATCATACAAAAAAAAAAAAATTACAGACCAATTTCACTAATGACTATTGATGCAAAAACACTCAACAAAATCATACCAAATAGAATATAGCTACACGTTTAAAAAGAATTATACACCATGATCAGATGGGCTTTATCCCAATAATGCAAGGTTGGTTCAAAATATGCAAATCCATAAATGGGATTTACCACATAAATAGAAACAAAATAAATGCCATATGATCCTCTCAATAAATGCAGAAAAGACATTTGTCAAAATTCAGCAAATTTTTCTGATAAAAAAATGTAAGAAAATAGCTATCCATGAGATATTTCTTAAACTGATAGAAGCCACCTACAACAAACACACATCAGTATCATACCAAATGGAGTAAAACTGAAAACATTTTCACTCAAAACTGGAAAGACAGCAGGATGTCCGGGGCATCTGTGGCTCAATGAATAGGGCGCCAGCCCCATGCACTGAAGGTGATGGGTTTGAACTTAGCCCCAGCCAAACTGCAACAAAAAGTAGCTGGGCGTTGTGTGGGCGCCTTAGTTCCAGCTACTCAGGAGGCTGAGGCAAGAGAATCACCTAAGCCCAAGAGCTGGAGGTTGTTGTGAACTGTGATGCTATAGCACTCTACAGAGGGTGATAAAGTGAGACTCTGCCTCAAAAAAAAACCCCAAAACACCAGGATGTCCACTATTGCCACTACTGTATACATAGTGCTAGAAGTTCTAACCAATACAATTAGGCAAGAGAAGAAAATCAAAGGAATCCTAAGAAGGACAGAGGATGTTAAATACTCATTCGTTGTGGATGGCATGATCTTATACTTAGAAAATGCCAGGGACTCAACCAGAGATTTATGAAGTGATCAAGAAATAGTAATGTCTCAGGATACATAACAAATGTCCACAAATCAGTAGCCTTCAACTCCCACTGTTCCTATGTATTGATCTATTAGCACACAGTGGGAATTTGACCTGGTGGTCTTTTGACACTACAAGACACTCACAACAATGTGGATCTGTTACCTGGACACAACGGCTTTGAGACTGAGGTGTGAGAATCATTCAGGAGTTCAAGACAAGCTTCACCAATAGTGAAACCCCATCTCTTCTAAAAATAGATGAAATCAACTCAGAGTGGTGACATTCACCTGTAGTCCAAGCTACTCATGAGATTGAAGTAGGGGAATCATTTGAGCCCAGGTTCTTCAGGTTACAGTAAGCTAAGTTACACCACTGCATTCTAGCCAGGGCAACAGAATAAGACTCTGTCTCCAAAAAAAAAAAAAAAAAAAAAATGGATTTGTCAATGTATTTAGTAAATGAGATGAACAAAACTGCTGTTTAGATACACAAAGGTACCATGAAAAATGTCCCATAAAATCCATTATACACAAGGAAAGCAGGGCAGTCCTGTGACTTTAGAAGTCATAAGATCTGTGTGGCAAAGTTGCTTATAAAGTATTAAGGGGCATGGCATTTTGGTGTATGTTTATATTTGAGTTTATCTTCTTTAATTAATCTTAAGCTTCCTTGAGGGCAGGAGCAGAGCTTATACTTTCATTGTAATTACCCACAGCCACTTGGTAGAGTGTGTTCTGGCTGCAAGAGCCACCCAATTGTTGTTGCAGGGCTGCTGTGAACATTTCTAATGTAGTTGGGTGCCCTTTGTGAGGTCTATAATCACTGGCTTTCTCCAAGGTGGACAGACACGGAAATCCTTTGTGATGCTATTCTCCATAGAGCAGAATCTGGGATTATAACTCCCCAAGTGGATTTAGAAATAAACAAAAGGACACAGACATCCCAGGAGAGCTTACTGTCCCCCAATTGGTCATAAGCTCTATGATGACAGAAAGTGCACCCTGCCCTTTGTGTTTTCCACTGAGCACCGGGCATAGGCTGAGGGTGCAGTGAGCGTCTGATGCCCAACAGCTCTGGACCATAAGGCTAGGACACAGGACAGAACTGTATACAGGTGCCTGCATTATATGCAGGGCTGTTAATTTCTTATTTTAAAAAGAATAGAAGGGGTAAAATAGCATGGAGATAATCAGAAATTCCTTCCAATGGAACATGTCACCAGCTTCATCTTTAGTCTTGATGAGTGTCACTAGACAGTCTTTATTATTAATAAGCATTACTATGCTGAGATCAATAAGGTCCTGGCTGGCTACAGTATCACATCAATAGTGCAAAATGTATGCTGGCTTTTGTCTGACATCTTATTTTACTTGTGCATTGACCCAGAGTATCATAACCAGGTAGATAAGTTCACAAAGAATAGTTTTTTTTTAATGCATATAATTTGCATATACATCAATAACAATTTTGCTATTTCTTCTAGCAAAATGCTTAAAACAAGGCTAGTGCTGCTAGTAGAATTCAGAACACAAATTGCTTGTCCCACACATTATAAGGGGAGCTCCAAATTATTATACTTCCTCTTGACTCTGGGGAGTGAGGGGCTCCTAAAGCAGCTAAGAAAGAACTTAGCCACTAATTCATAGATAATGGAAATGCAAATATTCACTTTATCTAGCATAGTCTTATACTATCTGCCCATAGTTTTTAGGCACAATTATTAAGCTTTCTCCAAGGGGAAAAAGAAAGCATTTAGTGCAATGAAGAGATTCTTGGTAGAATTAAGTTTCAGTAACAACAACAAAATTATGCATACATAATACATACTTTAAACATGAATAAAACCTAAAGTTTTAACATGCTTTAAAAATAGTCACTCTATGTCTAATGCAAATACAAATGGAGAATACTGCTCTTTATTTTAAAAGCAGATTAATTTGCAGGCGTCTACTTGAATACCCTTGATTATGTAAGAGAGTTACTCACGTAGACCCAGATATGAGGAAACCAACAGTTCTTTAGAGAAATCAACTTTATATACAATGCAGGCTAAAAGTTTTTCCTTCAAAGGGAAGGAACACATTCTCTGATCAAAATTACTTCTTAAAGAAATCCTAGTGTAGCTGATACTCTCTTCAGCATTTTAGTGTGGGTCACCAGAGACTATATTTCATCAAAGCTCTTGGAACCCTTTTTAAGGTAGACTCAGCTATGTGAAGGTTAAAATTATAATACTTAATTACTGAATACCATTCAGAATAAGGTGATTCTAGGAACTATGTTCCATATGAATGATTATATAAAAATCACCATATACTTCAGTTCTTCACAGCATAATGCGTAGTCACTGCAAAGAGCTAAGCTGTTTTTGGTTGTAGATTTCCTCTGTCCCACCACTTGTCTTTTGTTATTTAGACCTTCCCTGAAACTAGATAAATAAAAACAGGATAGTAAAGTACTTTGGGACAGTAACAGTTTCTGTTTAAGACCGCTATGAGCAAAACAGTTAGAGTCTTATTATGTTGTTCAGGTTGGTCTCAAACTCCTAACCTCAAGCAATCTTCCCACCTCAGCTCCCAAAGTGCTGGGATTATAGGTGTAAGCCACCATGCCTGCCCACACACCTCCTTTTATACTTAGATAAACACCTGAATTGAAACTGAGTTAATAGAATCATTGTTCAGATAAATTGTCTATAGTAAGTACTATACATAAATAAGCTATCCTTTAACATATTTAGTTGTTTACCAGAAAAGATAAGTTCCTGGATTATTTAGTTGGTTGCCTGAATAGATAAATTATATTACTAGTTGCAGTCTCCAAAAATGACAGAAAAATTAGCCAGGCATGATAGCCTGGGCCTGTAGTCCCACCTATGGGAGGCTTAGGAAGGAGGACTGCTTGAGCCCAGGAGTCCCAGGGTGCATTGAACTATGAAGAGCAAGACCCTGTCTCAAAAAATCAATTTTCATTACAAGTTGGAATCATTAGAACACTATTGTTTGTAGTAATTTTGTTGATCTCTAAATGTTGTCTCAATGTATAAAAGGAGCACTAACACTACCTGCTCTCATGATGTTGGCCCAGATTTCCATAACCAATTGTGGACATCCACAAGGAACCCATGGAACCTCTAATGATAAGCTTTGCTGTGAGATGGCTCATAAATTCTCCACTGTGGGTTTTGAGGGATCCCAGGAAGACAATCTCACTTCTTCCTGGCTCTAAGGGACAAGATGGAACTGATGCAGAACTAAGTTCACATAATCACCAAGGGACCTAAAGTGATCACAGAAATTCTCTCTTGGGAAAAATATCTTAATCTAAAGGAGGATGTGTGAAATCAGCAATGTCTGTCCCAGGCTTGACATCCATGACTCTGTCTTGGGCTACTGACTCCAGGCTGAACTGCTGATGAACTTTGAGACCCACAAAGGAACTGTAAAAAACATTTTTTTTCACAAACTACTGGCCTCTAAACAATATATAATACAAAGAAACTGGTCCTAATCTTCACCAAAGGTTTGTAAATAGTACATGGGTCTTTCCAGACAGACTGATGAAAATACACCCTTCTACTAATGACCGATAGTGCATTCTTTGTTCAACCAACCAATGAAATAAACTAACAAGCAATTTATATAGTCAAAATAAATTTCTATAAATGTAGGCCCCCTCACACTTCTTGGGTATAAAGTCTCTAACTGCTACCCAGGTTGCAATCTCCAATCCTGAGTAAGCATTTATACTCCTCTGCCCTATTGAGTCCTCCTTTTGATAAGGATTAATAGGTCTTATTCCCTTCCATCTGCCATATAAAATCATATCTGTGTGTCCACTAGTGTCTAAGACAATATTTTATTTTGTCTAAGGTTTTGTTATTTACTCATTGCAAGAAACTGAAAAAAAATTAATCACACTTACCATGCTTAAGGATTTGCTGATGTTCTTCGTATTTAACTGTAGAATATTTCCAACAATTGGGAGAGGAATGGGGCCAGGTGGCAGTTTTCCTTTGCCATAGCTTGCATTCCACAGAGAAAAAAGAATCAAACAAGAGAGACAAATCACCAGGACAATGAAGAGATCCATTGATGGGCTTTGTGTAAATGCAATTGAAAGCAAGGAATCCAAAGGTTTTATAAACACAGGTGCAAGCTTATCTCTAAATACGAATTGAGACTTTGAAATTTGAATAAGCAATTTTTATCTTTGGTACCCTTTGGCCTGCTGATAGAAATAAGAACAAAATAGTCAATTTAGTATTGACTGATTCCTATGTTTCTGTGGATATTTCAACTAAAAAACAACTCACACTTCTTTAGAGATAGTAGTCTTAGTGTTTGAATAATAATAGTAAAAACTGTCAGAATAGCAAAGGGCTAATTAGATGGGGGTCATGATCACAAGTGATTAAAAGGAATATGTCATGAGTCAAAATCTATCATCATATGAGCAAAACAAAGAAGCCCTCTCTTTCTTAGTGCCCATCCCCAAAAGATGTCAGGGAAAAGGCCATAATCAGAGGTATTATAGAAAGCCTTTCCTATCTTAGACAATAGTAGAACTATACCAATTTTCTTGCCAGAGACCCATTCTTTAAGGCAGAAATAAAAACACTCCCAATGGATATGAAGTCTAAACAAATAGTAGGCAGAAATCCACCAAGTCAAGAAAAGAAATTGCTCACACACAACTGAAAAAAACTCCACTGGCTGTATGTTACCCATTCCCTTCATTGCTCATCCATTCCCTTCATTGCACATCCATTCCCTTCATTGCACATCCATTCCCAATAAGGGACTAGTAAGTAGTCAGTACCTTCTCTGCCACTTCTCACTTGGGTGAGGAAGTAACCCAGCATTTACTACAAATATGTGAAAATGTCTAAAATTTAACAAATATGAACAAAACTCCAAAGGCATTTGAGAAAGTCCAATAGCATAACAAACATCAAACTTAAAATCAGAAAACTGAACCCTGAAGAAGTTGACTAAGAGAAAACAGAAAAAATGTTAAGATAATTATAAAAGGATCAGGTAAATTTAGCTATAAGAAAAGAATAATATATTAGAAAAAGAAGCTCTTGGTGTTTAAAAATAAGATTGTAAAAGTATTTTTTAAGAAAGAAAATATCCTGTATAATAAATTACATTTATCTACAGCTTAATTTATTCAGCAAGAGGATAAAATCAAGAATTTCCCACCAATAGATTACAAAGCAATAAAGATTGCGATTATAAATTAAATCAGGTGACGTGAAAAGTAGTTCTGGAGGTTCTAATAAATTGGTAGAGGTTCAAGAGAAAGAAAAATAATCAAACAAAAATAAGCAAAAGAAATTAAAGAAAATGTTCCTACACTGATGAAGCCAAAGGGTATGCAAGAGAATTTTTCTACACTGGGTTAAGAAAACATTTGGATCTACCAAGTTCTAAGGGGGATTAAGAGAAAAGACCAGATCTACAGAGTGACATCAGGAAGATGACTCACTAGAGATCCAGGGTCTTCATGTCTCCCACAAAAAGGAACCACAGCAATGAATGAATGATATCTTGACTAGAGTGATGAAAGAAGTATGCTGGAGAACAAAACCTCTGTGGTTCATGGAAGCCGAAGCTACCATCACAGAAAGAAGGGCAAGATATCCTGCCTCTGTCACAATTTCTTCCCAAAAAGGACCACCTCAAAGTCAGGGGATGCTTCTTCTCACAAGCACTGAAATAGACTGAAAACAGACTGTAAAGAAAGGGATGGAAAAAGATATTCCTGGCGGCGCCTGTGGCTCAGCGAGTAGGGCAATGGCCCCATATACTGAGGGTGGTGGGTTCAAACCCCACCCCGGCCAAACTGCAACAAAAAAATAGCTAGGCATTGTAGTAAGTGCCTATAGTCCCAGCTACTTTGAGAGGCTGAGGCAAGAGAACCACCTAAGCCCAAGAGCTGGAGGCTGCTGTGAGCTGTGACACCACAGCACTCTACCAAGGGTGACAAATTGAGACTCTGTCTCTAAAAGAAAAAAAGATATTCCATGCAAACAAAAACCAAAAGCAAGCCATATTCATATCAAATAAAGTAAACTTTAAGTCAATATTGTGAAAAGACACAAGATCACTATACAATACGATAAATGGAGTGACCCAAGAGGAGGACATAAAAATTATAAGTATATATTCAGCCAACACCAGAGGACTACATATATAAAACAAATATTATTGAACCTAAAGGGAGAGATGGATTCAAATCCAAAAATAAGAGGGGGCTTCAACACCCCACTTTCAAAAATAGACAGATCCTCTAGACAACAACAAAAAGAAATCAACAAAGAAACATCAGACTTAAACTGCACCATAGACCAAACAGACATACTAGATATTTACAAAACATCCCATTCAAGAGTTGAAGAATACACATTCTTAATAGCACATACAATACTCTCCAGGAAGATCACACAATAGTCCACTGTCTCAGTCTGTTGTGTTGCTGGCAGAGGTTGAGTAATTTATAAAGAAAAAAGCTTTCTTTGGTTTGTGGTTCTACAGGCTGTACATGAAGCATAGTGCCAACATTTGTTTTGGGTGAGGGCCTCAGACTACTTCCACTTATGGTGGAAGCAAAAAGGGAGCAGGTATGTGCAGAGATCACATGGTAGGAGAGGAAGCAAGAGAGAAAGGGAAAAGATAATAGGCACTTTGTAACAATGAGCTCTGGTGAGAACTAATAGAGCAATAACTCACTCACTCACACACTACCATAGGGATAGGAAGGATCCCTCAGGAAAGATCCACCTTCATAACCCAAAACCCTCCTATTAGGCCCATCCTCCAACATTGGGAGTTAAGTTTCTACAGGAGATTTGGGAGGCAAACATCCAAACTATAGTAGACACAAAACAAGTTCTAATACATTTAAGAAGATAGAGATCATATAAAGTATAATTTCTGACCACAATGGTATAAAACTAGAAATCAACAAAAAAGAAAGATCAACATCAAATCACAAGATTGAATGAAGAAATATTTTAGTGGCCCTTCTGCACCAGTTAAATCATTTAATCTTGTTAGTTTTACCATGTTAGAGCATTTAATCTTCAGAAAACACTTTAGAATAGCAATATTTGCAGCTTAGTGACCCTGAGAAGATTCAGGTATACCTCCCTGTCCACTTAATAAAATGTAAAGCTGGAATCTGAAGTGAAGAAGATAGCTGACACATCTGCCATTTATAATTTAAGGGAAAAAACATATACTGTATTTGTTGACTATAATTTAAGAGAGAGACAGCAGACCAAAGGAAAGAGAGATCCCAGATTAGGGGCCATGCACATGTACAGCTCAATGCAGAACTCCCAGTGCTGCTTAGTCTCCTACACTACTGTAATGAACTGTGCTCAGTCTTGCAGAAGAAAAGGTCAATCTTAGAGGAAATGAGCAGGAAGGGCCTGACAATCATGGGCTTCCCTCCACAGCTTTTGTCATTGAAGAAAGACAAAGCTAATAAGCAAACAGCAGGTATATGAGTTTAGAGAGGAGGATGGGGACCTGATGTCAGTCTTGAAAGACCACTATGTCCAGATTCCACAGACAAAAACATGATACATTTAGATCAGGATCTACACGTAATCAAATAAAAATGCCACTCTTTACACCACCTCTCAAAAAGAACCTAATGTAAGCATAGTCTTTTGTAAACTCACTAACAGATTGTTAAAGAAAATACCTAGAATTTTAATGTTGTTTTAGAAAAGAAAATAAATTGCTTCTCTTAATTCAAAACTATTTGTCTTATTTGTAGAGTTCTGAGAAGATTGGGATGTACTTTCATGTATATGTTATTATTTGAATCTGAAATAAACCCATGAGAAGGAAAGTATCTTTTTTATTTTTTACAGGTGAGAAATATGAGAATCAGAACTGAAGTGATTCACACAAATCTTCACTGCTAAGGCAGGGTAGAGATCAACTCTGGTTTTACAATTTAAGAACTTCGAATTGGGTAGAATGTGAATTCAATAGCATCCCACAAATATTTGTTGAGTAATTATTGTATGTCACACAATCTTACTTTGATCTTAAATAACTCGTTTAATATTAAAGAGTTATTGAGTCAAAAATTTTATCATAGATAAATAAAAATTAGAGTTCAAAAAAGGTTGTCCCTTTGAAATCACTAAAATTTATGGAAACCAAATTAAGAGAACTCATTCATTTCGTGGATTCTAGTTCTCAGACCTTCATCAGAAACATAACATGCAAATACCTTCTCCCATTCCGAAGGTTGTCTGTTTGCTTTACTTACTGTGCTCTCGGCTGTGCAGAAGCTTTTTAGTTTGATCAGATCCCAGTAATATATTTTTGGTGTCGCTTCAATTACCAGGGAGGAGATCTTCCTCATAAAATGTTTTCCCAGGCCGATTTCTTCAAGCATTTTCCCTGTATGTTCTTCTAATATTTTATAGTTTCCTGTATTAAGTTTAAATCTTTTATCCAGTGAGATTCAATTTTTGTTAAAGGTGAAAGGTGAGAGTCCAGTTTCAGTCTTCTACAGGTTGCCAGCCAGTTCACCCAGCACTATTTGTTAAATAAGGAATCTTTCCCCTAAGGAATATTTTTGATAGGCTTATCAAAGATCAAATGACAATAATTGGCTGGGTTCATCTCTTGGTTCTCTATTCTGTTCCTCCCTATTTTTGTGTCAGTACCATGTTGTTTTGATCACTATAGGTTTATAGAATAGCCTGAAATCTGGTAGCAGGATTCTTCCTGATTTGTTTTTATTTCTGAATATTGACTATTTGAGGTTGGCATGAATGTGGAGAGAATGGAGAGAAGGGAACACTCTACATTGCTGGTGGGATTTTGGAAAGAAGTTTGGAGAATACTCAAGGAACTAAAAGTAGACCTACTGTTCAATCCTGCATTTCCTCTAATAGATATATACTCAGATTATCAAAAATCATTTTACAACAAAGATATTTGCACTAGAATGTTTACTGTAGCCCAATTCATAATTGCCAAATCATGGAAGCAGCCCAAGTGCCCATAACCCATGAATAGATTAACAAATTGTGGTCTATGTATACCATAGAAATTCTATGTAGCAAAAAAAAAGGGATAGAGGGCTAGGCGCCTGTGGCTCAAGCGGCTAAGGCGCCAGCCACATACACCTAAGGTGGCAGGTTCGAATCCCCAGCCTGGGCCCGCCAAACAACAATGATGACTGCAACCAAAAAATGGCCAGGCGTTGTGGCGGGCGCCTGTAGTCCCAGCTACTTGGGAGGCTGAGGCAGGAGACTCGCTTGAGCCCAGGAGTTGGAGGTTGCTGTGAGCGTGATGCCATGGCACTCTACCCAGGGGGATAGCTTGAGGCTCCGTCTCAAAAAAAAAAAAGGGGGGGGGATAGAGACTTTACATCTTTTATGTTGACATGGATGGAATTGAAACATCTTTTTAGTAAAGTATCTCAAGAATGGAACTATTATGAAGCCAATATATAATCAACACATTCATACAAATGATAAAACATAACTAGTCCCAAAAGAAGGAGGGAAAGGGGAATGAAGAGGGAAGAGTGTTAAAAAAGAGGGTATTTGTGCTGGTGGGAATGCAAATTAATTCGTTCCTTTTGGAAAGATATCTGGAGAACACGGAGAGAACTAAAAATAGACATGCTATTTGATCCTTCAGTTCCTTTATTAGGTATATATCCAGAAGACCAAAAATAGAATTACAACAAAGATATTTGTATCAGAAAGTTTATTGCAGCCCAATTCATAATTGCTAGGTCATGGAAGAAGCCCAAATACCCATCGACCCATGAATGGATCAATAAATTGTGATACATGTAGACCATGGAATACTATGCAGCCCTAAAGAAGGATGGAGACTTTACCTCCTTCATGTTCATATGGATGGAATTGGAAAATGTTCTTCTTAGCAAAGTATCTAAAGAATGGAAGAAAAAGTATCCAATGTACACAGCCCTACTTTCAAACTAATTCATAGCTTTTATAGGAATGTCATAACCTAATTATAGCCTTAGAATATGGGAAGGGGGTGGGAGGGGGAAGTGAGGGTGGTGGATGGGGGGAGGGAGGGAGATTGGTGGGGTCACCTTTATGGTTTACCGTACAAGGGTACAAGTGAAGCTTTCTAAAAGCAGAGTATGAACATTGTAACTCAATAACTAAGAAAATGGCGTGAAGGTTATGTTAACCAGTTTGATGAGAGTATTTCAAAATGTATGTGAAGACAGCACATTGTACCCCATGTTTGCATTAATGTACACAGTTACGCTATAAGAAATTTAAAAAAAAAAAAAAAAAAAGGAAGAAGCAGGAGGAAGGAACAAAGATAATATATACTCAACCAGGACCAGTAATTGTGTAGAGTGACAGAGAAAGTGAAGACAGCCAGCACCTTAGAGAAGCTGCATCTTCAGTGAATATTCAAGACAATTGTGTTATAGTAATAAATCTGAAATTCTATGTTACTCTTTATGAAAAAAAACATCAAAATCCCTTTTTAATAAATTACTTACTGAAAAAAAAAAGAAAGAGGGTATTTGGTGAGACTGCACCTATTGCACACAGTGTAATACTATTAAGAGTATAGTATAAATGTCTTACCACAACAAATAAGTGAGGTGATGGTTATGTTAATCAGTTTCACATAAGCATTCCACATTGTATATCAAATCAGCACATTGTACCCCATAAATGCATAAATGTACACAGTTATGATTTAATTAAAAATAAAAGGATGCCATAGAATAATAACAAAATAAATAAAAGGCACATTTTTTACATCAAATATAAAAAGAGAGAGAATTCATTTATTTCAAAGAAATATAGTTTTTAGCTGTCCAATTTCATATACTACCTCAGGACCTTTCCGGTGCTGGAGAAGAGCAAATTTTAAAACAATTATATGTGTCTATGTGTGTACATAACAATTATAATATTATTTTCTCTCCACTGATCTGATCCACCCATCTGATCTTCAGAGAAATCCCTTTGCCTGAAAAACATGTCTTGGCATCTGCCTAGCTTTTTACCTTTCACAGAAAGAAGCAAGCATAAAAATAAATGAGTTGGAATAGATCTTGGCAAACATCTAAAAAAATTACTTACTTCCTTGTTGTAGGAGCAATAATGTAATGGCTCAGAGGCAACAACATTTGCATACAATCACATAGTGCCAGTTGAAGAATCTTTGTTTTCTCAAATATCAAACTTCTTTTTATCACCTAAGTCTGAAAAAATTGAAACATAGCATTTAATGCAGGAAAGACTTGCTTTTAAATGTTAACTCTTCTTATGTAAAAACCTGGACTGTCTGAAATGTTATTGATAGGACAGAATGTAGGGACCCACCCCAATAGAAAAGTCCTCCTCAGGAAACAACATCCTCCCTCCAAAGGAATGCGTGCATGAAAGTCCCACCCAGGAAGGCATGAGTGCACCAATCCCTACCCCCTGAGCTCTTATATTCCTACCCTGCCTTAACCAACGTGCTGATTTCTTTTTCGAATTCAGCCCCCGCTCACACCCAAGTGAAATAAAGGCCACATTGCCCACACAGAACCTGGACTCCACTTCTTTTTGTTCCTCCCTCAAATTGGAGGTCTCAGAATAACATCCCGTTTTCAGTCCTTAACTTCTCATTTTGATGCTGAGAACCTAGAATGAGAAGCCCCCTTTGGGGGCCAAGATATATCCCATAAGACCCACTCCCAACTAGACAGACTCTTGTTCCAACTAGAAGGGAAACGGAGGACCCCTCCAATGCCTGCCCAGAATTCATCCATTTAATAGTGAGGTGGGCATTCATCTATAAGCCCTTTCTGAGCCTTTTTAACTCCATTCCAACTCCTCTCTCCCTCATCCTCCTTTTCTAGGCCATTTAAGCATTCATATATAACCCCTCTCTGAGCCATTTTAACTTCTCTTCTCTTTCTCCACTCTGGACTGAGAAAACCCCAGTAGTCCATGCCTCCTAAATCCAGTGCCAGTCATGGGCTAACCCTAGTGAGTCAGACTTACCTGTTTTGTGCCCCTCCCATGGGCCTGGACCACTCTTTTCTTGCTGGTTAAAGGTCCTTCAAGGAGGTCTAGTAACCTCCCTAGCCCCAACCTCAGCTACTTTCTTCCTCCTCTCTCTCGTAATTTCTTTTTTCATCCTCACTTTAATCTCATTTATTTTCTACCTTTAGTTTCCAATATGGAGACTGTTCAGTCACAGATTCCCCCTTCTTCACCTTTAAGCTGCCTCTTAACTCACCTCAAGCCTCTACATTTTTATCCTGACCTTAAACCTAAACACCTCATCTTTTTCTGTAATAATTTTTGGCTTATGGACAAATGAGACAATGGCTCACAATAGCCTGAAAGTGTCACCTTTAACCTTTCAATCCTCACTGACCTTGACAATTACTGTTGAAGATTAGGCAGATGGTTAGAAATCCCTTACATCCAGGCCATCGTCCTCCTCCAAAACAAAGCTCTCTCAAATTTTCTTTGCACAAGCCAAGCAGCCCTCCCTGAAACCCTTTATTCATCATTGTCTTCCTTCAACCCAACAGACAACCCTCTGCCTTCTGCCCCTCCCTCACCCTCAACCTCCTTCCTACCTGCAGAACTCCATCCCATCCCCCCTCTCTCCACCACCTCACCCACCTTCCACTGCACATGAATGAAAAAGAAATGATAGTGAATCTGGGTGAAAAAGGAAAGATGACAGACCTGATTCCCCCACCTCATGCTAGATCTGGCCACACCTTTGGACATTCCACTTCCAGACCACCACAACCTCTATACCCCCTCCAAGAGGGTGCAGGAATGGAAGATACTGTCAGGGTTCATGTCCCCTTTTCTCTCTCAGACCTGTCCCATAGAAGTCAGAAACTAGATTTGTTCTCCATAGATACCACGAAATACTCTCAAGAATTAAAATATGTAACCCAATCATATGATCTGACCTGGCATGATTTATATGACATCCTCACCTCACCCTAAAGAGGAGAGGATGCAGGTCTGGACTCAGGCACAGGTTCATACTGAAGATCTATGGAGGACAGACCAAACCCTGCCAGAGGCCACTAGGGCTGTCCCCCTGGAAGACCCCAATTGGAATTACCAAACTGACACTACTGGAGTTACTCTCTACAACCACATGGTCCAGTGTCTCTTACAGGAACTAAAAAAAGCAGTCCATAAGGCCATGAATTATGGCAAACTAAAAGAAATAACCCAGAAATGGGATCAAAACCCTGCCCAGCTTTTAGCCCTTAATGAAGTACTCCATCTCTTTACTGCCCTATCCCAGGAAAACAATGAGGGGAGGCTTGTTATCAACATGCATTATACGGGCCAGTCTACATCCAATATCTGGAAAAAAAATCTCCAAAAATACCCCCAGCGCCCTAGGGATATTAAACCACTCACCTTCAAACTCCTGTCAGCTGGTATTCTCAAACTTACTAATATGCCCTACAACACTCCCATCCTTCCTGTAGAAAAAAAAAACCAATGGTTCATATCAGTTAGTGCAAGACTTATGGGCCATCACTGAAATTGTTCAGCCTAGTCACCCAGTAGTCCTTAAACCCTATACCCTCCTAACTACCATTCTTTCCAATATCTCCCACTACACAGTTTTAGATCTCAAAGATGCCTTTTTTACCATCCTGTCCATGAGCTCTCCAACCCCTCTTTGCCTTAACCTGGACCAACCCTGATTTTTCCACCAACAACTCACCTGGGCAGTTCTCCTTGAAGGATTTAGACAGTTCTCATTACTTTGGTCAGGCACTTCAGGCTGACCTCCGGCAGTTAACTTTACAAAAAAATTCTACAGTTCTTCAGTATGTAGATGACCTTCCCTTATGCAGACCTTCCTCCACTGCCTAGCAGCAAGACACAATTCACTTACTCTCTTTCCTCCCCACCAAGCGGTATAGAGATTCCCCTTCCAAAGCCCAGTTAACCTCCTCCCTCTGTCCAATACCTTGGCATTCTCCTACAGGAATGAGAAAAACTCATTACCCCTGAACGCATTCAGGCCATCCCCTCCTTTACCCCTGCCCCCCAGAAAATATGACCTCCTCTCCTTCCTGGGGTTTCTAGGATATTTTTGAGCCTGGATTCCCAAATTTGAAGCTTTGACTAAACCTCTATATATAAGGTAACCAGACATCCCACTTTTGGCAGGACAGTCCCAATTTTTAACAATTTGTCCCTCATCCCGTGGCATTTTTCCCGATTTTTGGAAAGAACGCTCAACATGTTAGATAATTGCCTCAGAAAGCCCCTCCACCCAAAAAGCCCCTTCCTGCCCTTAAAGTTACAACTCCTCCCCTAACACAGGGAGTGGCCTGCTTACCACTGCCTGCTAGTGCTAGTTAAACAAGTGATGTCAACAAATCAGCTATTCAGATTATTTAGGTAAGTAATTTATTTTATTTATTTCATGAATTTAGCAGACAGTACTCGTATTATTTATATTTTATATTGGTGGCAAAAAGTCTAGCACCAGCCTTGAAAGTGACACCTACGACTTATGAGGTATCATTATTTAAAAATATATATTGATAAGGAAAAGGTTAAATCTTGGGCATCAGCAAAAATCACAATCGAGATTTCCATACAATAATGCACTAAAAATTGTGGGATACGTGCTGTCCTTATCAGGAACTAATGCTGCGACTGAATGTTTTTTCTACAGTAAATAAAATGTGGACATCAGAAAAATCACAATTAAGTGTTGAGACTTTGAAAGCCATTTTATGTGAAATATAATTTAACAAATTCTTGTGAAAAATTTCATGACCTTTTAAACAATAACAGCAATCTACTAAAAAAATTCACTCAAATGAGAAATATGCCAAAGAATAAAATAATACTATACATAATTTTTTAATGTATTATATTTGTAAATTGTACTTATGTTGAAATTAAAAAAAAATTACAATACTATTTTTGCATTCTATGAAAATTTTTGTTGCTCCTTATAGACCAAATTTTTAATTAAGAAACCTGCCCCATCCACCCCCTCCACCCCCACCCCCGTCAATGGTGTCCCACTTTACCAATGTTAAAATCTGGTCACTTTATCTATATACCACCACTAAAGGTTCCCTAACCTACCTCCTAGACCTGCACCAGCTTTAGTCAAGTTCTTTCCTCTCCCTAAAATCCTGTCTGTCCCAAACACTCTCCCTCCATCTTCCTGACTTCTGCTATCCATTTTACCTCTCAGTGTCAGAACACCAAAGATGTGCAAGAGGGGTCCTAACACAGAAACCTCACAATAATCACCTCCCAATAGTATTACTCTCAAAATAGATAGAATTCACAGCCTTAGGCTGGCCCCTTTGCCTCCAAGTGGTGGCAGCCACATCCCTCCTTTTCCTGAAGGCCCAGAAACTTACCCACCATGCCCCCACATGTTTACTTACCCCTCATCACATTCCATCCCTTTTAAAACACCAACATTTATCATCTTTAATTTCCACACCCCGTTTACTCCAGCTCCTCATCCTCTTTATAGAAAATTCAAACCTTCACTTTCTTCCTGGCCAGGTGTGTAACCCCTCAGGTTCATTAGCTGCCCTCCACTCACATAACCTTCACTCTTCACAGAACTGATTCCATGATTGTTGGCCTTTAATTACAGTAACACTACATTCTTTTCCCAACATATCCCCTTTTTCCTTACCTAACTCCAAAGACAACTGGTTTATCAATGGCAGTTCTTCTAAGCCCACTGCTCACTTCACTGCCAAGGCAGGCTTTGCTATTGTGGTATCTACTCACTACAAGCAGACCTCTTAGCCCTCATTAAAGCCTTACAACTTGCACAAGGTCGCTCTATTAACATATATACAGATTCTAAGTATACCTGCCTTATAATCCATCACCATGCAGCCATAAGGGGAGAAAGAGGATTTATTACCACCCAATGCTCCTCTATTGTCAACACCATACTTATTAAAAACCTCCTAAATGCAGCCTCGAAAAGGAAGTGGAAAAAAAAAACAGATCAAATTTCTAAAGACAACCAAAAAGGATATATAGAAGCCAAACAAGCCAAACAAGCAGTTCAATGCCCTTACACACAGCCCACCCTAGAAGGCCAGTACTGTCCTTTGATAAATTCTCTCCAGTATATATGTCTAAAGAACAATACAATTACTGGCATCTTCCCACATAGGGAGGATGATTCCTTAAACAGGGAAAATTTATTTTTCCTTCCTCCCAAGCACAAAATATCCTCTCTTCCCTCCACAATAGCCTTAACATTGGCTTCAAGCTGCTTTACAACCTTCCTTCTATGCTCCTTTCTCACCCATGACCATCTTCCCTTTTAAAACAAATAGCAAATAACTTGCACAATCTGCACCCAGGTCTCACCCCAGGGAGTCATAAAAACACTCCCTTTTCCCATGTGTCAGGCCCCGGGCCAAACCCCTGGAAAAGACTGGCAGATTGACTTCACCTGCATGTCTCCTGTATGAAAATATAAACTTCTTCTAGTCTAGGTTCATACCTTCTCAGGGTGGGTCAAAGCCCTCCCCACAACAGCAAGAAAACCATGAAGTTGTCTCCACCCTCCTCCACCACAGTATTCCTAGATTCGGCCTCCCCACCTCCATTCAGAATGACAATGGCCCAACTTTCATTAGCCAGATCACCTCCCAAAACTCACAAGCTCTAAAAGCCCAGTGTTGCTTACATGAGCCTTACAGGCCACAATCATCAGGGAAAGTAGAACTACTAATATCCTTAAACAACCTCTCCCCAAATTAGTGCTCCAACACAAAGAAGATTGGATTAAAGTCCTCCCCATCACTTTACTCTGCGTTTGCTCTACCCGTCACAAACACCTCTTTTACAGCCCTTTTGAAATAATGTATGGCAGAACTATTATTCTGGTCCCTGGACCCCCTCCAGACAAGGGAAACTATTTTCCCATCCTCCAGAAAACCACAGATAAGCTTAGAAAAACTATAAACCAGCTACTCCCCCAACGCTCAGCACAGAAAGTCAGAGACCAATTGGCAAGGCAACAAGTTTTCCTCAAATCTCCCTTGTCCTGCAGGACTCTATCTCTTCACTGGAGAGGTCCTCACACCTTTCTGTACCCCCATGGCCATTCATCTCTTGGACCTCCCAGTCTGACTCCCCTGATCCTGAATAAAGCAGTGTCCTACAGAAAAACTTCCCACACTGGAAGACCCCCACTGTAAATCACAAATACTATACCCCCACTACCCTAAAATTCACCAAGATCTCCAAAGGGTCCACTTCCCCATAAATGTGTAATATACTTCCCCAATTCTTCTCTTTTCTCCATAACTTTTCCTGAGATGCCTGGCTACTCTCACACATTCACAGCTGGGATGACCTCTTTGAAGCCTTTAAAGATCTGTGGTAACAAGGCATCTTCCAAGACTTTTTTTTTTTTTTTTTTAGGAAACCCTCTTTTCCTCTTTCTATTCCTTTTCCATCTGGCTACCCCTTCTGTCAATCCTGGCCCTTCTTTTCTCCCCTTCAACCCCAACTGAATGCACAGGTTGTCTTGCTACCTGAACCTCATGTATCTGTGAATACCTTACCAATGTCAACTACACCCAATTCTACCTTAGACCCCTCTTTCAGTCGCTACACATATGTCCTGCACACTGTTATAATGTTTCCAAAACCTCTGAATGTTCCTATGGAGGAAAGAGGTACTAGAATGGCAAAATAACAGGCACTGGGTGTCCCAGAAGTGGTGTCCAGACCACTGTCTGCTGGACATACCTCATACATGTAGGATTATCAGATGGTGGAGGAGTTCAGGGCATAGCACATCAGCAAGAAACAAGACAGATCATAAAAAACTCTCTTCTAGTACAACCCCTTCACCATATATGAGAATAGACCTCACTATCGTACAAGATCTACAACACTCCCTTATTCCCTGTCTTTTAAACACCCCCTTCTCAGCTGCTCTGAACTCTTCTCTCTCTTCTCCCTCTCAGGAATCTGGATGTGTCTTTCTCTATACCAAAATCTTTCAATCCCATATCTGTACCCAACACATACAACTCTTCCATTCTGGCAGAAAATAACTTGGGTTTTGGCACCATAACTATGGACTTTCCATCCTTAGCCTCCCTGAATTTAGCATGCTTTAATCTCACCAGTACATGAGACTGTAGGTTTTATAAAGCCTGATCTCTATTCCCTCAACTCAACTTTTCACTTATCTGATTCTTCCTGTGCCCCCCTCAGGAATATTTTTCCTCTGTAGCCACTCCATCTACCTTCCTAACTCAGGCCCTAATGCAACCCCCTATTTCCAGATAAAAAAGAGCCCATCTTCCTCCCTGTACTCCTCAGAACAGGCATTATGGCTGGACTTCACACAGGCATTGCAAGGATTACTATATCAACCCATTTTTACCACCAACTCTCCCTAGAACTTAACAAAGACATGAAAAAGTATCAGACTGTTTAGTCACCCTACAATCCCAAATTAATTCTTTAAATGCAGTAGTCCTCCAAAATTGCTGAGCCTTAGATTTACTTATATCAGAAAAAAGAGACACATGTCTTTTGGGGGGAGAAGAATGTTTTTGTTTTTGTTTTTGTTTTGTTTTGTTTTGTAAACCAGTCAGGAACAATCACAGGCAAAGTAAAATAACTCCAAGAATAAATCAAACAGAGAGGAACAGATCTTGAATCACCTAATCCCTGGTCCTTATTTGATTTCTGGCCTCCTTGGTTATTTCCTGCGTTAGGGCCACTAATTTTGATCTTTCTCATTCTCAGCTTCAGACCAGTAATCCTCCACCTCATCTCCCAATTTATTGATCAGGCTGTCACCCAAAAAACAGCCGTTCATATCCTGGCCCTACATGAATATCAATTGGTTCAAACAGAAGACCCAAGAATGTTCTGGTAAACACCACTCCCTTCCTACTCCCTTTTTTTTTCCTTATAGGCAGCCCACACTGACCATCAACTGACAGGAAGCAATCAAAGAAGCACCATGCACATCACTCCACCTCCTTATAATAGACTAATAAGACCAGGATAATAGGGCTGAATGTAGCGACCTGCCCAAATAGAACCGTCTGGTCCACCAAAGAACATCTTGATCAGGAATGAATGAGTTCACCAATCCCCTGAACTCTTATATCCCCACACCACTTTAACCCAGATGCTGACCTCTTTTTTGAACTCAGCCCCTTCACATCCAAGTGAAATAAAGGTATGTTGCCCACTCAGAAACTGGACTCTGCTTCCTTTCATTCATGTCTCAGAATAACTTCTCATTTTTGGTCCATGTATTGGAATAGCCTCTCATTTTCAGTCCTTAACCTCTGTTATGAAATAGCTTGCTAACCTATCACACCACAGGTGGTGTTGAGCAAATAAATCTCTGTCCTGTGCAAAGGAGAGCAAAGGTTAGGTTAAAGTGTTTTGACAGAAATTCTCAATCTAAGCTAAAGAAGAATCAGGACTGTGAATTCAAGATACGATCTCTTGCCCTTTACTCTTGTTGACCATGAAAATCCTTCATGAGGAATATATGAGAATATTAGAGTGCAGGATCTACTTTCAAGGTATCCTGGCCAGGAGTCTAGTTTCTGAGTAGGTAGATTAGTCAGAGTTCTCCAGAGAAACAGGACCAATGGATACATAGAGATATACCAGGGGGCCAAACAAAAAAAAAGTATACACAATTTAAGAGATGTTATCTATGTATTACTTTTAAAAGTTGAATCCAATTATGAAAGCAATATGTAGTGTGACATGTGCTCAAAAGATGGGATTAAGAAAACGAATGCTGGCTTGGTGCCTGTGGCTCAAGTGGCTAAGGCGCCAGCCACATACACCTAAGGTGGCAGGTTCGAATCCAGCCCAGGCCCGCCAAACAACAATGACGGCTGCAACCAAAAAATAGCCAGTCGTTGTGGCAGGCACCTGTGATCCTAGCTACTTAGGAGGCTAAGGCAGGAGACTTGCTTGAGCCCAGGAGTTGGAGGTTGCTGTGAGCTGTGATGCCATGGCACTCTGCCCAGGGGGATAGCTTGAGGTTCTGTCTCAAAAAAAAAAGAAAACAAATGCTAGAGTCACCATACTGGAAGTATGACTTGGAGAGATTTTTCTCATAAAATGTGTATACTCTTTTGCACCTTCTGTATAAGGAGAGATTTATTATGGGAATTGCTTCACACAATTTCAGAGGCTGAGAAGTTTCACAGCATGCTTTCTGCAAGCTAGAGCACAAGGAAAGCCAGTGATGTAATTCAGTTCAAGTCCAAAGAAATTAAAACAAGGAACTCCAATGTCCAAAGGCAGAAAAAAATGGATGCTCCATCTCTGGCACTTGACAGATTAGATAATATTCAATACACATTGGTGAGAGCAGATTTTCTTTTTCCTTACTGATTCAAATGCTAATCTCTTTCAGAAATACCCTCAAAGAGACATCTAGTAAAAATGATGGGGGGTAGTTTGTCTATCTTTTGAGATGGGAAAGTCCCACTATGCTGTCCAGGCTGGTCTCAATCCTTTACTCTCAGCCTCTGGAGCAGCTGGGATCATAGGCACACTCCATAGGATCCACTTAGAATAATGTTTTACCAGCTAGCTGGGCATCCTTTATCTGAGTCAAGTTGGCATAAAATTAACCATCATAGTAGTTTATAGGACAGGCATGAATACATACTAAAAGTAAGCTATAAATAAATGACACATGATTCATCATAGCAAGACAGTTCTCAGAACCACAGACTGCATCTATTTGTCATTCTCACTTAACCTGGGCATTGTCCTGAGAACACAGCTACTCCTGCACAAACAATGGTCTTCCCATCTACAGACAAACCTTTAACCATGGGCCATGAGACTAAAATTCATGTTCAACCTTCTCCTGTTATCTTTTTTTATTATTATTAAATGATAGCTGTATACATTAATGCAAACATGGGGTACAGTGTAGTGTTTTCATATACAATTTGAAATATTTTCATCAAACTGGTTAACATAGACTTCGTGTCATTTACTTAGTTATTGTGTTGAAACATTTATACTCTAGTTCTAGAAAAGTTCACTTGTACCCTTATTAGACAGACCATATAGGTAATCTTTCTAGTCACCCTCCCACCACCCATCCACCCTTCTCCCCTCCTCTCCCCTCCCCCTTTCCCATATTGTTAGGCCAGAATTAAGTTGTAGCTTTCATTTGAGAACTATAAATTAGTTTCATAATAGGGCTGTGTACATTGGATACTTTTTCTTCCATTCTTGTGATACTTTGCTAAGAAGAACATTTTCCAGTTCCATCCATGTAAACGTGAAGGAGGTAAAGTCTCCATCTTTCTTTATGGCTGCATAGTATTCCATGGTGTACATATGCCACAGTTTATTGATCCACTCATGGATCAATGGGCACTTGGGCTTCTTCCATGACCTGGCAATTATGAATTGGGCTGCAATAAACATTCTGATACAAATATCTTTATTGTAATGTGATTTTTGATCTTCTGGGTATATACCTAATAATAGAATTGTAGGATCAAATGTCAGGTCAATTTTTGGTTCTCTAAGTGTTCTCCAGACGTCTTTCCAAAAGGAACATATTAGTTTGCATTCCCACTAGCAGTGTATAAGTGTTCCCTTTTCTCCACATCCATGCCAGCAACTCTGGTTTGGGGATTTTGTGATATGGGCTAAGCTTACTGGAGTTAGGTGATATCTCAAAGTAGTTTTGATTTGCATTTCTCTAACGATTAAAGATGGTGAGCATTTTTCATATATCTATAGGCCACATGCCTATCTTCTTTGGTGAAATTTCTCTTCAAGTCCTTTGCCCACCCTGCAATGGGATCACTTTTTGTTGTTGTTGTTGTTAATGCATTTGAGTTATCTATGGATTCTGGTTATTAAACCTTTGTTAGAGACAAAGCCTGCAAATATTTTCTCCCACTCTGAGGGCTGTCTTCATGCTTTACTTACTGTGTTCTTGGTTGTGCAGAAGGTTCTCCTGTTATCTTAATGATGACAGAGGTCTCTTGTCTCCTGGGTGAAAGGGATTTCATAACTTCAAAGTAAAATCATGTAGAATTAGAAATGTGGGAATAAAAATGACAAATTAGCAGCCAATACTGTGGTTAGCCTGTGAATATTATACTGAGGGAATTCATACTAGTTAAATAAAGGAGTGAAGTCAAAGGACAGAATATTTTCTATAATCTTAAAATGACCATTATTTACTTGCAGGTTAGTATCAAAAAATCCATATTTTCTGAGTTTTTAAATATTTTCTGTTAAAAAAAATTTAAAAAACAAAAAAAAAACAAAAAAAAATTTTCTGTTAAGAAAATGATATATTCCTATGCAACTCTCAAAAGGTATACAAAGAAATCTCATGTATCCTTTCCCAATTCATCCTAAAAGTAGCATATTGAAAAATTATATCAGTCAAATCTATCAAGTATAGAACACAAATGTCTTAACACAATAATCAAGTAAATGAGGTAAAAGCTGTATTAATTAGTTTGATGTAAGTATTCCAATTGTATAAAAAATCAACACATTTTACCCCACAAATGCATAAATGTATTCATGATCTATGTGTATATGACTTAATAAAAGGAAAAAAAGAAAAATTATTTCTGGACATTGGAATTGATACAGTAAAGACACAGAAGAATTCCACAACAAGGATTTCTCAAATAGCTCCTTTATAGCTATTCCCACTCCCCCATCACCCTATGATTCTTAACCCTTAGCAACTACTAATCTGTTTTCCAGTTCTATTATTTGGTCATTTTAAGAATATCATAAAAATGCAATCATATATGCATAGTATTTAACTTCTTGGACAATCTTTTTCACTCATGACAATTCTTTGTGACTCATCAAAGTTGTTGCCTGCATCAATAGTTCCTTTCTTTTCATCACTGAGTGTGCAATCGATGCACCACAATTTTTCAAGAGATAAGTGACCTTAACTAAGAGGTGGGAGGGAGACATTCAGCCCTTTCCTCATTTAAGCACACAGCAACAGGGCACCATCCTAAGAGCAGAGACCAGGTTCTCACCAGACACTACATTTGCTGGTGCCTTGATCTTGAACTTCCAGAACCTGCCACAACTGAGAGCAACAAATTTCTTTTGTTGATATATTACCCAGGGTCAGAGCAGCAGAAACAAAAAGACAGTCAACATACCATTTTACATTTCCATGAGCAATGTAAGAAGAATTCAGTTTCTCTTCATCATCTTCAGTATTTGAATTGTACTCTTTTAATTTTAGCCATTCTGATAAGTGTGTAATACTTTCCCATTATGGTTTTAATTTGCATTTTCCCAATGGCTAATGTTGTTGAATATATTTTCATGTGCTTCTTTGCCAAATATGTTTGTACTTTTTAATGGGATTCCTGCTCATGTCAATGGCCTCCATTTCCTAACTGCATTGTTATATTACAGTAGAGTTTTTGAAAAAGTGTTTTTAACTACTATCTAAAGAGATTTCTAGAGACTTCTAGATAGTAGTCCTTTCTTAGATATGTGATTTGCAGATATTTTCTGCCATTATGTACCTTGTGTTTTTTCCTTTCTTCTCCTTTTTTATTTTATTTTATTTTATCTTTGGTAGAAGGAATTTATTGGAAAGAAGGACAGATACTCAATGACACAATTTTAAGTAAAAAAGAAAATTAGAAAATAGCATGTAAAATATATTCTCCTTTCTAACATATATGTAAATATAAATGCATTGAAAACATACTAGAAGATTCTATGTTCATTGGCATATATTTGAGGGAGATGATTCCTGGTATTAATTTTGTTTTTTTAATTTAAATCTTCTATAGTGATTCCTATTTACATTAGGGACTAGATATATTGAAATTGTATCTAAGTCTGTGCACAGGTCTTCAGGAAGCTACAAGGTCAATAGTGATTCCCACTGAAAGGGTAGGCCAATGGTTAGGGTAAGCTTCTAGAGGAGGGAGGAGGTAATAACTGAGGTGATTCATGAAAGACAAGAGGACATTTTCTGTCATAATTTGCCCAAAGTGAGCCTCTCTCTAAAATCCCCTTCCTGGTGTTTTGCTTCTTCAGGCTTTGGAGAGAGAAAGGCAACATACTGGCTGGTACTTTCAAGGGCCCTGCCTACTTGTCTTGACCAAGAGGCCTCTTGGCCAATACTATCTGCATTCCAAAGTGCCTTTCAAATATCCTTCCCCTAGAAGAACTTGCAGAACCTCACACTTCTGCATCAACCAGGGATGCATGTCAGGTGCTATGGAGTGAATGTTTGAGTCCTCCTAAAAACTATGAGTTTATGTCTAATGCCTTGGGGAAATAATTAGGTTCAGATAAGGTCATGAAAGTCCAGCTCTTATAAGATTAGTGCCATTATAAGAAGAAGACAGCAGTATCTCTTTCTTTCCATAGACACAAACCAAGAAAAGGCCATGTTAGCATGCAAGGAGAAAGTGGCTGTCTACAACCCAGGGAGGGAGTCCTCCAAAAACCAATATACCAGCACCTTGACCTTGGACTTCCCAGTGTCCACAACAATGAAAAATACATGTCTGTTGCTAAAGTCACCCAGTCTATAGTATTTTGTTCCAGCAACCCAAATGGACAAAGATATTGAGTGAACATAGTGTCCTCATATGTGATGATGTGGAGACAGGAATCATAATAAAAGGGCTTGGGAGGGCAGCCAGTAAACTTC